GGGAAGCTCTGGAGAAGTCCTGGAGACGAGCATGGGAGGAGGAGACAATGGAGCTAGAGAGTAGGAGGTCTTGAGAGGAGCAGAGAGTACGGTTTGGGTGGTATTTGAAGACAAGATCCGTGATGTAATTTGGGGCAGAGTTATAAATGGCTTTATATGTTATTGTTAATGTTTTGAATGTTATCCGTTGGGCAATGGGAAGCCAGTGGAAGGATTGGCAGAGAGGGATGGCAGATATGCAACGATTAGTAAGGTGGATGAGTCTGGCAGCAGAATTCATGATACACTGAAGAGGGGATAGCCTGCGATGAGGTAGGCCAATGAGGAGGGAGTTACAATAGTCAAGGCGAGATATAACAAGGGAGTGAATAAGTTGCTTATTGGTTTCCGAGGTTAGGAACAGGCGTATCTTGGAGATGTTGTGGAGGTGAAGTCTACAAGATTTGGACAGTGATTGGATTTGGGACTGAAAGGACAGATGGGAGTCTAGGATTACACCTAGTACCCTGGCATGAGGGGCGGGACTGATGATTGTGTTATTGATCTTGATGGAGAAGTCAGGGGAGGGGGCACGGGCTGGGGAGAATACTAAGAGCTCAGTTTTGGAAAGTTTGAGTTTGAGGAAGTGGAGTGACATCCATGCTGATATGTCGCTCAGTAGGTTAGTTACTGCGAGAGGAGACTGAAGGGGTGAGGTGAGGGGTAGAAAGATAGATTTTTGTGTGTCATCAGCACAGAAATGGTACTTAAGGCCATGGGAGTTTATCAAGTGACCAGAAAGGGGGAGTGAAGAGGAGGAGGCAGCGTTATAGGTAACACTGAAGGAGCGCTGCGATAGGTAGGAGGAGAACCAGGAGAGAGCAGAGTCTCTGACGCCAAGAGTGTGGAGTTTTTTGAGGAGGAGGAGATGGTCAACCGTATCAAAAGCCGCAGAGAGGTCAAGTAGTAAGAGTATGGAGTAGTGGCCATTGGTTTTAGCAGTTAGTAGATCATTAATGAGTTTTAGTAGGGCAGTTTCAGTGAAGGGTAGTGAGCAAAAGCCAGACTGTAAAGGGTCAAGAAGGTTGTTTTCAGTGAGGTGGGAGCTCAGGCGATTGTAGACTAAGCGTTCTAGGAGTTTAGAGGTAAATGGCGGCAGGGAGATGGGTCTTAAGTTGTTCATGTTGGTGGGATCCAGGGAGGCCTTTTTAAGTATGGGAGTGATGTGTGCAGGCTTTAGAGGGGAGGGGAAGGCACCAGTAGAGAGGGAAAGATTGAAGATGTGAGTGAGGGAACATAGGACGGAAGAAGAGGGTGACCGTAGTAGTTGTGAGGGGACAGGATCCAGGGGCAGGTAGTGAGATGGGCTTCTGAGAAAACCTTAGTGACCTCTTCAGTAGTAGCAAGGTCAAAAGAGGAAGGTGTTGAGGGAGGTTTAGTATAAGGTATGCTAAGTGGGATGGATGTCTGTGCAGTGGTGACGCTCCTACGAATTGCATCAATCTTGTTTTTGAAATGATTTACAATCTTGTGAGCAGTGAGTGAGGTACTGGGTGGAGGTGGAGAAAGTAGAGAGTTAAAAGTAGAGAAGAGACGACGAGGACTGGATGACAAGGTATTAATAAGAGTGACATAGTAGGTTTGTTTGGCAGCATGGAGGGAGGAATTGTATGTTAAGAAAGCAGAGTTATATAGGGTGAAAGCTTGTTGAGATTTGGTTTTACGCCACAATCGCTCCAGTGCATGACTATGTCGTTTAAGATTTCTGGTGTCGTCAGTCTGCCAGGGTTGTAATGGTTGCGGCCTGATGCTTCATGTTGTTAGAGGAGAAAGTGAGTCTAATGTGGATGAAAGCGAACTGTTGTAGACAGCAGTGGCCAGGTCAGGGCAGGACAGGGGAGAGATTCTGTCATAGAGTTGGTCAGTTGCAGAGTGGAAAAGAGAAGGGTTCAAGATGTGAAGGTTTCTGCGGGTAATTGTTTGCTGCTTGGAGGGATAGGTGTTTGAAGACGAGGACACTGTGAAGGTGATAAGATTGTGATCAGAGAGAGAGAAAAGGGGGTGTTTGTGAGGTTGTAGGGAGCGCAAAAGGTCTAATGTATTCCCATCAGAGTGAGTGGAGGAGTGTATCTATTGCGCTAAGGCAAAAGATGAGGTTAGGTTGAAGAGTTGGGATGTAGGTGGGTTGTTCACATTTAATGGGGATGTTAAAATCTCTGAGAATTATAGTGGGTAGTTCAGAGGAGAGAAAGTAGGGTATCCAGGCGGAGAAATCATCAAGAAAGTGGGACACCGATCCACGAGGTTGGTAGATCACTGCAATCCTCAGAGAAATGGGAGAAAACAGAGGACAGAGATGAGCTTATTACAGACAGAGCGGGCATTCCAGAGTGCGCATGAAAAAGGGAGGGTGGTTTTTGGGAGCATGGTGACTGATATTAAACTGAGGGGATTGTGGCTATTCCCGGAAAAAAGAGGATGCCTGGTGTGGGGGTGAAATAGTGAAGAACCAGGGTTTGGGGAGATATCTCCAGAGGTTAGGAGAAGAAGAAGGGTGAGGAAAGTAACATGGGAGCGGGATGTACTCGAGTGCACATGCCTTCCAGTCCTGGTGTTAGGGTCAGCAGGAGAGTGACGTATCAGCAGGAGGTGATGAGAGCAGTAGTAGGGAGACGGTAGCAGTGAAGGTGAGATGTACAAGTTTTGAGGTGGAGCAGAGGGGTAAAGAAGCAAAATTTTGGGAACGCAGGAAAGTAACATGAAAAGGAGGAGTAGAGGGGACATATTACAAAGGTACACGGAGTGGGACTCAGACTTGTAAGAGATGTTTCCCAGGATGTTTGCTTGCAGTCTGTTCAGCGTGCAGTAGAGTTTCTTGTTGTTGTAACTTACTGCTGCTTGAGTTATCCTGCTTTAGTTGGACTGCTGTGTTCAACTGCTTCTTAGCACTCCATCAAAAATTGCACACCATCTGTGACTCTGCCCCCTGATCTGTGACCACCCCCCATGAGCTGATCTAAATTTATAGGGAGATGATCAAATGAGCACTCGTCTCCGCCCCAATTAGGAGCTGATAAGGATTATTATTATTATTATAATACAGGATTTATATAGCACCAACAGTTTGCTCAGCGCTTTACAATATAAGAGAGAAAGTACAATTACAATACATTTCAGTACAGAAGGAATAGGAGGGCCCTGCCCGTGGAGCTTACAATCTAAAAGAAGGGGGAGGTGATGCAAAAGGCGATAGCTGAGGGGGATGATCTGGTGGAGGTGATTCAAGTACAGTTCTTAGGTGGAGGTGGGGTAGGCTTCCCTGAAGAAGTGAGTTTTTAAAGATCGCCTAAAGGCAGACAGGGTGGGGGCTGACCGGACATGCTGTGGTAGGGAGTTCCAGAGGATGGGAGAGGCTCTGGAGAAGTCCTGGAGGCAAGCGTGGGAGGAGGTGATGAGGGAGCTATAGAGGAAGATATCATGGGAGGAGCGGAGTGGGCGATTTGGCCGATATCTGTGGATGAGGTCGGTGATGTAGCTAGGGGAAGTGTTGTGGATGGCTTTGTAAGCTGTGGTTAGTATTTTGAATTTTATATGTTGGGTTAGTGGAAGCCAGTGAAGGGATTGGCAGAGAGGGGCAGCAGTCGCTAATCGGTTGGTAAGGTGTATGAGTTTAGCAGCACCATTCATAATAGACTGAAGGGGGGATAGCCTGTGTAACGGTAGACCAGTGAGGAGGGAGTTGCAGTGATCGAGGCAGGATATAACTAAGGCGGGATGAGTTGTTTTGTGGTGTCATTGGTCAGGAAGGGACGGATTTCGGAAATGTTCTGAAAGGTTGAGGCGGCAGGATTTAGCCAGTGAATGGATTTGGGGCCCAAAGGAGAGGTCAGAGTCTAGGATTACGCCTAGCACCCTGGCATGAGGGGAAGGACCAATGGTTGTGCTATTGATCTTAATGGTAAAGTCATGAGTGAGGTATCGGGGGGAGGAAATATTACAAGATCAGTTTTGGAAAGATTGAGTTTAACCACTTGCCTACCAGGCACTTATACCCCCTTCCTTACCAGGCCAATTTTCAGCTTTCAGCGCTGCCGCACTTTGATTGACAATTGCGCGGTCATGCAACATTGTACCCATATGAAATTTTGATCATTTTTTTTCTCACAAATAGAGCTTTCTTTTGGTGGTATTTAATCGCCACTGGGCGCTTTACTTTTTGCGCTATAAATTAAAAAAAGTGCAAAAAATTTGAAAAAAAAAAAAAAAAGTTTATTTGTTTCTTTTATAAAATTTTTCAAACAGGTATTTTTTCTCCTTCACTGATTTGCGTTGATGAGGCGGCACTGATGGGCACTGATAGGCGGCACTGATGGGCACTGATAGGCAGCACTAAAGGGCACTGATAGGCAGTACTAATGAGGTGGCACGGATAGGCGGCACTGATAGACAGCACTAATTAGGGGTCACGGATAGGCGGCACTGATATGCAGCACTGATAGGCGGCACTGATAGGTGACACTGATGATGGGTACTGATAGACGGCACTGACTGGCATCACTTCTGGGCACTGACTGGCGGCACTGACTGGCACAACCCCTGGGCACTGACTGGTGGCACTGACTGGCAGCACTGGTGGGTGGCACTGGTGGGTGGCACTGGTGGACAGCACTGGTGGGTGGGCACAGGTGGGTGGCACTGGTGGGCACAGGTGGGTGGCGCTGGTGGGCACAGGTGGGTGGGCACAGGTGGGTGGCACTGCTGGGCACATGTAGGTGGCACTGCTGGGCACAGGTAGGTGGCACTGCAGAGTGGCACAGGTGGGGGCACTGCTGGGCACAGGTGGGTGCACTGCTGGGCACAGGTGGGGGCACTGCTGGGCACAGGTGGGGGCACTGCTAGGAATGGGTGGGCGGGGCTAGTGGGCGCACAGCTGATCGGAACTTGCGGGGGTCACTGCTGGGCACCGATCATCAGGGCACTGATCATCAGTGCCCTGATGATCGGTGCCGATCCCCGCTCTGACAACTGCCGGTTCTCGGCAGTACTTTCCTCACGATCTGACAGCGTGAGGAAAGTGCAGCCGAGAACCGGCACTTGCATTTTCCTGTGATCAGCGTGTCATTGGACACCGCTGATCACGTGGTAAAAGGCCGGTGGGATCGGCCTTTCACCACATCTCGTGATCAGCTGTGTCCGTAGGACACAGCGATCACGGAGATCGCCGGGTGCGCGCCCCCTGGGGCGCGCAGGAGAGCGCGTTCTGGGAGGACGTCATATGACGTCCACTCAGAACTGGCCGGCCGCGGTGAAGCCGTCATTCGGCTATGCGCGGTCGGCAAGTGGTTAAGGTAGTGATGTGACATCCATGCTGATATGTCACTTAGTAGATTTGTGATACGTGAGGAGATTGAGGGGGTGAGCTGGGGAGTGGAGAGATAGATCTGGGTGTCATCAGCATAGAAGTGGTATTGGAAACCATGGAAGGTTATCAGTTGGCCCAGAGAGGAGGTATAGAGAGAGAAAAGGAGGGGCCCAAGAACAGAACCTTGGGGTATCCCAACAGAAAGGGGAAGAGGAGCGGAGGAGGAGGAGTTGTATATATGTAGGATCACATGAATTGGGGGGCTGTTTCTCAAACACAGACCAGACACAAGCCACAGTCATAAAAAGAGTGCAACAAGAGGTGAGAACTAATCAACAGACAAAAGTATATACACTATTTTTCTGAGATAGTAGGAGTCTATGCGTTGTTGTAGTTGCAGTTTAGAGTGGAGAGAGCAGACAGCAACCAATTTACCCAGAGATAGCAGGAGTCTATGCGTTGTTGTAGTTGCAGTTTAGAGTGGAGAGAGCAGACAGCAGCAATTTACCCAGAGATAGCAGGAGTCTATGCGTTGTTGTAGTTGCAGTTTAGAGTGGAGAGAGCAGACAGCAACCAATTTACCTGTGAAAAGCAGGGAAGCCATGATTAGACTGCTGTGTTCAACTGCTTCTTAGCACTCCATCCATATATACTGTATATATATATTTTTTTCATTATTAGTTTCTTTGTGTATGGCATACATTGGTAGTTTTATCATTTGGAAAGTTGGAAACAATAGTTGGTTTGTGGGTGCAAGTGTTTGTATTTCAATACTAGACTTTGCATAAGTAAAACTCTAGTAGCCAGTTGGAAATGACATAAAAACTTTCACAAGCTGATAACAATTTTTACATGAAGCTGAAGTCATTCAAATTTGTTTAAAAAACTTTAAAGCACCCAAGGTTCCATTGGATTACTGAAAGCCCTTCAGTAAGTGGACGGTGTCCCACTGAGCTCGTACATATTGAACATTTTAAAGCTTGACTGGAGTGAACAATTTGCTCTCTTTTATCTAGTTACAAGAACATCCCCCAAACAAAGTTTATGGCAAAATTAGACCAGTGTAGAGACCCGTGACTTAGAGCAGCTGTCATAATATCCATTAGCCTATGTTTATTATTGAAGAGGAAGCAGCAGGGAGGTATAATGAAGGAAACAGTACACAGTGTATAGAATTCAATAAAGACTAGCAAACCAAAGACTACAGGAGGCATGTTCACTAAGCATCAACTGACGTCTAAATGTGCCACTAGCTTTGGCACTTTGGCTAATGGCACAAAATAGTGAGACCCACTAATGGCAACAGGCTTGCACAGCAGGGAAACCAGGACAATGTTAATTGCAAAGGACTTGCTGTCAGTTAAAAAACAATTCCAGGAAACATGTAAAAGTGCTTAAAGAGGACCTAGCACCTCAAGGTTTGCTTATTCAAAGTGATTCCCCCCCCCCCCCTTCTTTTCTAAATTCCTGGATGAAAGTGCGGGGGAAAAAAAAACGTCGGAGGATTAAAAAATTAGATAATATGCTTATAGTGCTACCTTCCCTGGGGCTGCAGTGTTTCTGGGTCCCCCTAAGCTTCGCACGGCCAGACCACACGTATTTTCCACACATGCGTCCAGAGTCAGTGAACAGTCCGTGAGCTTGGTTTTTGTTATTTTATTAGGGGATACAACGTGGATAGGGTAGTAGGGATTAAGGGATGCCCAACTTGACTAAATCAATACATGGGGACACTTCCTTCCTATTTACAGAAACAGATCCTGGACTGTTCTTTTCCTTGAAAGCAGTTCATTATGGACCAGTAGGAACTGCCCCTTATGGGCTAGGGACTCGCAGCCCCTCTGAAGGCTAGCTTAGCTTGCTGCAAACTACATGCAGAGATGTCTCCTCTCCCCTGAAGACCTGTTCCCAGATCCACAACCTAACAGCCCTCCTGGCTGCTCTGAAGATCTCCCAGGACAAGGATAAAGGAATAAGCACAGCGCTGTCCTTTGAAAGCTTGCTACATGTGGCAGTCTCTCCCCTTTTGAATCCCTGAGTGTGAAGATGTACTCACTCTGCCCTCCTTGCTCCCTCTGCTCCCAGGCCTTGATCCTATTCATGCCGTGATGCTGAATGGATCCTCCTGAGCCAGCCCAAGCCTGGCCTGCAGGCTAACTCCTCCCCCCCCCCCCCAGACCAAGGGGACCTCTCCCAGGTCACTGACAGCCTCCTCAACACTCCATCTTCCACCTGACTCCCTTGCCAGCCTGACTCTCCCGTAGTTATGGGTTGGTCTCACCACTCTACCAGGGCCTCCAAACCTGGGATTCGTTAGACTCCCATTAACATGTAGATTAGGTCTCCACCCCTTCTGATCTCTAGCTTCTGGAAGGTTCCATGGTCCTCCAGAACCAGGTGGAGACGATAGAGTCGCATCCTGTTAGGCCATCCAGCCTGGCCTGCAGTGACCCGACCTGATTACAGACTCACACAGTTACCATGAGTCATACGCAATAAATGTACCTACAATACTCTTGTAGCCAGGGCTTTTTTTCTCAAAAAATAGACGTAGGAACTCCCCCTTTCTGAGCCACTTCTTGTCTCCGACCCCTACTCACCTCCCAGTATTGCTCCTTTTAGAGAATACAGAGCCAAGTATCATTTTGTGGTGCTGAATAATTTGTTTGGAATTAGTTAATAATAACAAGAAAAGCTGAAAAATAGATCCCCTGTAGCCAGCAACAATAGATACCCTAGCAATAATTGACCCCCAAACCAAAATACCACCCCAGCAACAATAGACACCCAGCAGCTACAGCAGATCTCCCACTAGCCAGCATAAATAGAATCTTCAGTCACATCAGAGCACATCTTACAACAGAGTCCACCTTACATCAGGGTCCCCATCAGAGCCCCCCTTACACCAGGATTTACATCAGAGCCCGCCTTGCACCAGGGTCCACATCAGAGCCCACCTTAGATCATAGTCCCTCTCGGTACTCCACGCCTTTGCTTGCAGTAATTGCAACCAACTTATCTACAGTAAATACTTTATTTTGTTTATTTATTACAGGTATTTATATGACACCAATATTTATTTAGTGCTTTACATATATATTCTACATTCACATCAGTCCCTGCCTACCAGCATGTCTTTAAAATTGGGGAAAAGACTTAGAAATGATTCATCCAACAGAGTAGAGCCAGCAACTCAGCCAGCAACTCAGTGGCATCCATAAACATAGTCTTTACTGACTTCATGGTAAGATCCAGACTTATGCGTTTCAGCTATACAATCATAGCTCTCATACCATAGTCCTATTAGTAAGGCCATATAGCCAAAATGCGTAAGCCCTGTGTTTCAGCTGAATCTTACCATGCAGTCAATAAAAAATTCTGTTTATGGATGCCACCGAATTGCCTGCTCTACTCTGTTTGATGGATTGTTTCTACGTCTTTCTCAAAGTGAATGCTGATGTAAGACAGGCTCTGATGGGGACCCTGATATAAAGGAGGCTCTGATGGGGACCCTGATGTAAGGGGGGGGGGCTCTGATGGCGACCCTGATGTAAAGGAGGCTCTGATGGGGACCCTGATGTAAGGGGGGGCTCTGATGGGGACCCTGATGTAAGGGGGGGGCTCTGATGCGGACCCTGATGCAAGGGGGGGCTCTGATGGGGACCCTGATGCAAGGGGGACTCTGATGGGGACTGCTGGAGACATTTGTTATTACTCAGGGAGTACTGTCTGGATTGATACATTTTTATTTGCTACCGTAAATTCAGAGGCTCTGAGACACTTTTGGTGGGAAAGAGCCTCCACCTCCTGATTACAGGTATGTTGGTTCTGAAAAGGTTAGCCTACCTGCAAGGAAGGCTTGAAAAGCAACTGGAAGCTGTCAGTAGGTGTCTATCAGGTATTGTGGAGTGGTTCACAGCTGTGGACAAGTGTGGACTATCTGGAGACTGATACTCTGTGTTGCCGAGATCCTGTGGTTATTTCTGTACCCTGAACAGGTGAGACAGGTGGGAACCCTAAACCCAAGTATAGGACTGGTACACTGGGGGTGAGCTGTTATGTTGTTTTGAATAAAAGAAACACACCTGAACGCTGAAGAAATGCTGCTTTTCTTTTGTCTGCTTGTTTTTAATGTCCAAAAAAAGACTTATACTCTTACAAGTAGCTGGCTGGTGATCTTGGGCCCCCCCAGATTACAATATTCATGGTTCCAAACAATGAAGCCCAGTTGGAATTTGTATACAAAGCAAAGTTCACTGCACTGGATCACACCAAAAGTACTGCATGCACTACTTTTAAGAATGCACTGTAACCAGATCGTACTGCGGTACTATTAGATTCGGTGCAGACAAATGCACTGTGTTTGCGATCTACATTGGGATCTACTTTTGGGCTGCTGTTAGGAATACATTGAGACACCCACACACCCTGAACGCAGTGCAGGAAACATGCATGGAACAGGGGTTTCCCGTACTGCGTTCTGGTGTGATCGAGTCCTGGATGTATAGGGGTGTGTGACAGAGAAATGATCTGTCTCTTTGTAGATATGGAATTGTGGAGAGCCTGCCTGGGCAAGAAAAGGGAGCCTGAAAAACAGGGACTCAGGTGCAATTAGTCCACAAAGGATTAGGCTAGAGATTGAGACTGAATTCACAATGACTTGAAAGAAAATTCAGGAAAAAAATTACCTATCAATCCATTTATATGCATTTTAACACAATTTAATTACGTTGCAATAAGATGCATACATGTTGCATTTCAATGCAACACAGGTCAAAGAATTGTAGAGCGAGCAGGACACATAAAACATTGTATTTTATGCATCTATGTGTTGACCAGCATTTTACTACTGCTCTAAAATGCAGATCAACGCAAGTCAATGCACATTAAAACGCACATAAAATGGATGGAATGGAAATCCATTTTCCCTGCATTTTTAAGTCAGTGTGATTTCACTTCAAATTTATTGATTTATAAAACAGAAAAGTTTGGAGACCCCCTGCTCTAGGGCATAGGGTGATTTTACAATATTTGCATGTAATATTCTACGCTAGATTCACAAAATGACAATTATTTTCACCAAATCACATACGCAGATCACTGTGACATCATATAATGTCAAAAATGCCCAAAGTTTATGAGAGCATTTAGCTTGAGGTGATTGTAGCCGTATTAGTGCATTTGTGACAGAAACAATTGAGTACTGTCTGTGATACTTTTTTTATTTGCACTAACATACAATTTTGAGGACAAGCTTTCGGGGTATGTCCCCTTCTTCAAACTCCAAACAGTACTATTACAAATCACAAAGGTTAAGCAGAATGTTAGAAGGGATTGAGAAAAAAAAACAAAACAAAAAGGCTACAGATAAGATACATCAAAAGCGAGAAGAAGGGGACATACCCCGAAACTTTGTCCTCAAAATTGTATGTTAGTGCAAATAAAAAAAGTATCACGGACAGTACTCAATTGTTTCTGAGAGCATTTAAAAAAACACACATTAAAAACACACCGGCATGTGGGGCCAGTTATGTGCCTATTATTATTATTATTATACAGTATTTATAGAGCGCCAAAGGGTATGCTCAGCGCTGTACAATAGCAAGGGGGACAGAACATGAGACAAGACAGAAACAATACAATACACGAGGGGTTCGAGGGCCCTGCTCTTTCGAGCTCACAATCTAGGACTATAATAACCTTGTAATAACCATATATCAGCATCGATGGTGACAGTGGGAGCAATAGTGTCCCATCATTGGTTTCAGTGGGAGGAATAGTGTTGGTATCAGTGAGATCATCATTGGTGTCAGTGGGAGGAATAGTGCCTCATCATTGGTATCAGTGGGAGGAATAGTGCCCCATCATTGGTTTCAGTGGGAGGAATAGTACCCCATTGTTGGTATCAGTGAGAGGAATAGTGCCCCATCATTGGTATCAGTGAGAGGAATAGTGCCCCATCATTAATGTCAGTGGGAGGAATAGTACCCCATCATTGGTGTCAGTGGGAGGAATAGTATCCCATCATTGGTATCAGTGGGAGGAATGTATCCCATCATTGGTGTCAGTGGGAGAAATAGTGCCCCATTGATGGTGACAGTGGGAGGAATAGTGCCCCATCGATGGTGACAGTGGGAGGAATAGTACCCCATCGTTGGTGTCAGTGGGAGGAATAGTATCCCATCATTGGTATCAGTGGGAGGAATGTATCCCATCATTGGTGCCAGTAGGAGGAATAGTGCCCCATCATTGGTGTCAGTGGGAGGAATAGTGCCCCATCTCTGCTCAAACATGCACTGGTTACCCCCATACTCAAAAAACTCTCGCTAGACCCAACCTGTTTGAATAACTTAAGACCCCTCTCCCTGCTCCCATTTGCCTCCAAGCTTCTCAAGTGCCTTGTTCACAACCATATGAACTGCTACCTCACCGACAACAACCTTCTTGATCCCCGACAGTCTGGCTTCCACCCACAACACTTCACAGAAACTGCCCTACTCTAAAACTCACTAATGACCTACTAACTGCTAAAACCAACGGCCATTACTCCATACTCATACTCCTTGACCTTTCCGCTGCCTTTGACTCAGTCAACCACCCACTCCTCCTCAGTAAACTCCACTCCATTGGCCTCCTGGTTCTCCTCTTACCTTTCTCAGCGCACTTTCAGTGTCACATACAACTCCCCCTCCTCTGCTCCTCTCCCTTTTTCTGTTGGGGTACCCCAAGGTTCTGTTCTTGGGCCCCTCCTTTTCTCTCTCTATACCTCCTCCCTGGGCCAACTGATAACCTTCCATGGCTTCCAATACCACCTCTATGCTGATGACACCCAGATCTATCTCTCCATTCCCCAGCTCACCCCCTCAATCTCCTCACGTATCACAAATCTACTAAGCGACATATCAGCATGGATGTCACATCACTACCTTAACTTGTTGCCGACCGCAGATAGCCCAATGACGGCTGCACTGCGGCCGGCCAGTTCTGAGTGGACGTCATATGACGTCCCCCCAGAACGCGCTCTCCTGCGCGCCCCAGGGGGCGCGCACCCGGCGATCTCCGTGATCGCTGTGTCCTACGGACACAGCTGATCACGTGATGTGGTAAAAGGCCAATCACAGCGGCCTTTTACCACCTGATCAGCGGTGTCCAATGACACGCTGATCAGAGGGAAATGCAAGTGCCGGTTCTCGGCTGCACTTTCCTCACGCTGTCAGATCGTGAGGAAAGTACTGCCGAGAACCGGCAGTTGTCAGAGCGGGGATCGGCACCGATCATCAGGGCACTGATGATCAGTGCCCTGATGATCGGTGCCCAGCAGTGCCACCCGCAAGTTCCACCCACCTGTGCCCTGCAGTGCGCCCACTAGCTCCGCCCACCTGTGCCCAGCAGATCACCCACCTGTGCCCAGCAGTGCACCCACCTGTGCCACTCTGCAATTTCACACACCTGTGCCCAGAAGTGCCACCTACCTGTGCCCAGCAGTGCCACCCACCTGTGCCCACCCACCTGTTCCCACCAGTGCCACCCACCTGTGCCCACCCACCAGTGCTGCCCACCAGTGCCACCCACCAGTGCAGCCCACCAGTGCAGCCCAGCAGTGCTGCCAGTCAGTGCCACCAGTCAGTGCCCAGCGGTTGTGCCAGTCAGTGCCGCCAGTCAGTGCCCAGAAGTGATGCCAGTCAGTGCCGTATATCAGTACCCATCATCAGTGTCACCTATCAGTGCCGCCTATCAGTGCTGCATATTAGTGCCGCCTATCTGTGACACCTCATTAGTGCTGTCTATCAGTGCCGCCTATCCGTGCCACCTCATTAGTACTGCCTATCAGTGCCCTTTAGTGCTGCCTATCAGTGCCCATCAGTGCCGCCTATCAGTGCCCATCAGTGCTGCCTCATCAACGCACATCAGCGAAGGAGAAAAATTACCTGTTTGAAAAATTTTATAATAGAAACAAAGAAACTTTTTTTTTTTTTCAAATTTTTGGCAATTTTTTATTTATAGCGCAAAAAGTAAAGCGCCCAGTGGCGATTAAATACCACCAAAAGAAAGCTCTATTTGTGAGAAAAAAATGATCAAAATTTCATATGGGTACAATGTTGCATGACCGCGCAATTGTCAATCAAAGGGCGGCAGCGCTGAAAGCTGAAAATTGGCCTGGTAAAAGAAGGGGGTATAAGTGCCTGGTAGGCAAGTGGTTAAACTCAATCGTTCCAAAACTGAGCTCGTAATATTTCCTCCCCCCGATCCCCCACTCACGACTTTACCATTAAGATCAACAGCACAACCATTGGTCCTTCCCCTCATGCCAGGGTGCTAGGCGTAATCCTAGACTCTGACCTCTCCTTTGGGCCCCACATCCACTCATTGGCTAAATCCTGCCGCCTCAACCTCCGGAACATTTCCAAATCCACCCCTTCCTGACCAGTGACACCACAAAACAACCTATCCACGCCTTAGTTATATCCTGCCTCGATTACTGCAACTCCCTCCTCACTGGTCTACCGTTACACAGGCTATCCCCCCTTCAGTCTATTATGAATGCTGCTGCTAGACTCATACACCTTACCAACCGATCAGCGACTGCTGCCCCTCTGGCTTCCACTAACCCAACATATAAAATTCAAAATACTAACCACAGCTTACAAGCCATCCACAACACTGCCCCTAGCTACATCGGCAACCTCATCCACAGATACCGCCCAAATCGCCCACTCTGCTCCTCCCAAGATATCTTCCTCTCTAGCTCCCTCATCACCTCCTCCCACGCTCACCTCCAGGACTTCTCCAGAGCCTCTCCCATCCTCTGCAACTCCCTACCACAGCATGTCCAGTCAGCCCCCACCCTATCTGCCTTTAGGCGATCTTTGAAAACTTACCTCTTCAGGGAAGTCTACCCACCTCCACCTAAGAACTGTACTTGAATCACCTCCACCAGATCATCCCCCGCAGCTATCACCTTTTGTATCACCTCCCCCTTCCCCCCCCCCCCCCCCCCCCCCCCTAGATTGTAAGCTCCAGGAGCCGGGCCCTCACATTCCTTCTGTACTGAAATGTATTGTAATTGTACTGTCTCCCTTATATTGTAAAGTGCTGCGCAAACTGCTGGCACTATATAAATCCTGTATAATAATAATCATTGGTATCAGTGTGAGGAATAGTGCCCCATCATTGGTTTTAGTGGGAGGAATAGTGCCCCATCATTGGTATCAGTGGGAGGAATAGTGCCCCATTATTGGTGTCAGTGGGAGGAATAGTGCCCCATCATTGGTTTTAGTGGAAGGAAGAGTGCCCCATCATTGGTTTTCATTGGTTTTAGTGGAAGGAAGAGTGCCCCATCATTGGTTTTAGTGGGAGGAAGAGTGGCCCATCATTGGTATTAGTGGGAGGAATAGTGCCCCATCATTGGTATCAGTGGGAGGAATAGTGCCCCATCATTGGTATCAGTGGGAGGAATAGTGCCCCATCATTGGTATCAGTGGGAGGAATAGTGCCCCATCATTGGTTTTAGTGGAAGGAAGAGTGCCCCATCATTGGTTTTAGTGGAAGGAAGAGTGCCCCATCATTGGTTTTAGTGGGAGGAATAGTGCCCCATCATTGGTATCAGTGGGAGGAATAGTGCCCCATTATTGGTTTCAGTGGGAGGAATAGTGCCCCATCATTGGTTTTAGTGGAAGGAAGAGTGCCCCATCATTGGTTTTAGTGGAAGGAAGAGTGCCCCCATCATTGGTTTAGTGGGAGGAAGAGTGCCCCATCATTGGTATCAGTGGGAGGAATAGTGCCCCATCATTGGTATCAGTGGGAGGAATAGTGCCCCATCATTGGTATCAGTGGGAGGAATATCATTGGTGCCCCCCATCATTGGTATCAGTGGGAGGAATAGTGCCCCATCATTGGTATCAGTGGGAGGAAGAGTGCCCCATCATTGGTTTTAGTGGGAAGAAGAGTGCCCCATCATTGGTATTTAGTGGGAGGAAGAGTGCCCATCATTGGTATCAGTGGGAGGAATAGTGCCCCATCATTGGTATCAGTGGGAGGAATAGTGCCCCATCATTGGTATCAGGGGAGGAATAGTGCCCCAGTGTGGGAGGAATAGTGCCCCATCATTGGTATCAGTGGGAGGAATAGTGCCCCATCATTGGTATCAGTGGGAGGAATAGTGCCCCATCATTGGTATCAGTGGGAGGAATAGTGCCCCATCATTGGTATCAGTGGGGAGGAATAGTGCCCCATCATTGGTATCAGTGGGAGGAATAGTGCCCCATCATTGGTATCAGTGGGAGGAGTAGTGTCCCATCATCAGTGTCAGGGGAGGAATAGTGCCCCATCATTGGAGGAGTAGTGTCCCATCACTGGTATTAGTGGGAGGAATAGTGCCCCATCATTGGTATAAGTGGGGAGGAATAGTGCCCTCATCACTGGTATCAGTGGGAGTAATATTTGTGTCCCATCATTGGTATCAATAGTGGGAGGAATAGTGCCCCATCACTGGTATCAAGTGGGAGGAGTGTCAGTGTCCCAATCATTGGTATCAGTGGGAGGAATAGTGCCCCATCACTGGTATCAGTTGCAAGGACTGGGAGTTAGTGTCCCATCACTGGTATTAGTGGGATTGAATAGTGCCCCATCATTGGTATAAACAGTGAGAGGAATAGTGCCTCATCATAGGTGTCAGTGGGAAGAATAGTACCCCCCTAGGGCCAGATAAAGGAATGCAAAGGGCCGCATTTTGCATCGATGTGACTTCACTGAACACATTTTCTCATCTATGCAACAAGTGAATTGAGAATATTTTGAAATACTTGGCACAATAATGTTCACTTTATAGGATAAACAATGAACCTCTAATGCCAGTCTTTCTCCTCAACCTTTTGTTTCCGGATAAGCCATGAAAAATATTTTTAGGTCTTGGGGAACCCCTGCTAAGGGACCCGATTTATTGGAGGTCCCCAGGGCCACAGTTTGGAGACTACTGAAGTAATGCAATAGTGACACTCTTTTTTTTTTTTTTTTATTTAAAGCCCCAAAAATTAGCAGGTCCATGGCAGCAAAAGTGTTAATAAAATGTAAAGAGTGCCTGAGTGCTAAGGCTGTTCTACAAGAGGAAGTATGTCAATATTATGAATTAGCCATGTAATTAGCAATATAGATCGTGAGACAACATCTTGGCAACCGTACATGTGAATTAATCTTCAAAGGGCTGCAACATGCCCACAATTCTTCCGCTTAACTGACTGCAAGGACTGGCGCCTCTGCTGTTTCTAGATGCAGTTTGCATCGATGTGACTTCACTGAACACATTCTCATCCATGCAACAAGTGATTGAAACTACTTTGCATATACATGGCACAATAATGTTCACTTTATAGGATAAACTTGAACCTCTAATGCCAGTCTTTCTCAACCTTTTTTCCCGGAGAAGCCATGGAAATTATTTTTAGGTCTTGGGGAACCCCTTACTAAGACCGATTTTCCCATTGGAGGTCAGTGAGGAAAAATGCCCAATTATATTGAAGGCTACTGTCCCCCTACAGTGGATTCATTGGAGGAAACGAACACTCTGCACTGTGAAGAGGAAAAATGCTTTGGGGCTGTTTTGACTTATGCAGGAAGGCTACTGTGCAAAAGAAAGGTTCTCTTCAGTACCACAGTGGATGGAAACGAATGCCACCCAAATGCACCTTTGGGTAGACGTTGGGTTCTTTGTGGTTTCTCGTCACAATGATAGATACCTGACCATTTTGCATGTGGAACATAGTGGCTCTGCAGTCACCAAATGGCATTGGTCTTGGAACTACGCAGGTAACATGCAAGCCTAAGAATGTGACTGAACTGGATGTTGCACTGCTGGGCGAAGATACAGATCGGAACCTTGTGTCAAGCATGCTTCACGTTTAAAAGGTTATAGGAAAAGGATGCTGTACTAAGTACTAGATTGGTTCAACGGAACTCTGAATGCTGTAACAGGCATTTGTCCTATACTATTTTGTCTGATACAAGTGCCTCTTTAAGACACTGGCAAGATTACTGGGAAATAAAAGCAATGTCCAACTGGCTCAGGGGGGTTTTTTTGGCTCACAAAATAGGTGCAGGAACTCAACCACGACCCCACAAAACACCCTTCCATACACACCCTCCAAACCACATCAAATACTGGGTGTGGTCAAATTTTACTAACAGTGGGATGGTCTTACCTACGGGGCACTTATACCCCCTTTCTGCCCAGGACAATTTTCAGCTTTCACTGCTGTCGCACTTTGAATGACAATTGAGCAGTCATGCAACACTGCACCCATATGAAATTTTTATCATTTTTTTTTCGCACAAATAGAGCTTTCTTTTGGTGGTATTTAATCACCACTGGGTGTTTTATTTTTTGCACTATAAACAAAAAAAGAGCAAA